AAACGTCCGCTATTCCCTATACTCGGAAACAATCCGATTGTTTTGTTTATTTTCAAATCGAATAGCGTCAGCATTGGTTTAGTCAGCCTCAGGGTTCGTGGTATCATGAACCAGTGTAGAGCAGGTGCTCAACAATCTTCGTACAGGTCGCATCCTACTCCCGATTATCGAAAACGGTCGGATAAACACCCTCTCCAGACCTAACTTCAACAGACCTATCCACTTTTAACTAAAAACCGTAGAAATGGTACCAAATCAGGTATTGATTTTTAAAAATTATGTCGTCAACGAGTTCACATATATGTTCATAGACGTAGTCGGCGGTCAAAAGCCGAAACATGTTGCGAAAGCATTAGTCGCTAAGAACGTCGAGATTCCCGAAGATCGCAGAGCGTAGAGACCAAGTTTCGCAATCCACGAGCGAGGTCGCTTTGATAGTGGCCTCGTACACTCGAGTGCTAGCCCTCAGTTGAACCTCGCGACGAAAGCGCAAAGTTTCAGAGCCGATAGAGTGCGATACGCGCGCGTTCAATATTTTGGTCCGTCTCCTTTCGACACTAGTCCGTCTAATGCGAGTTTAATGCCCTGGTAACAGCAGCTGGCTTTCCGTCCCCATTGATTGTCATGGGAAGATTTCTCGAATTATTTTGAAGATGTCGGGAGCAAATGTGTGCCCTTTTCTTTTTTATAGAAGTCCAGCCTAAGCCTTTAGAGAATAAAAGGTGGAGATAACTCGTAATCGGTCATATCTGACACAAAGACGTTGTCAACCGATCTATGATATTCGCACGTCGGTTCAATTGTAACTTCAGTCAAAAGATCTCGGATTAAAGATATAAACCCCTGGTTAGTTAGGAAACTAGACGGTGGTGTATTGGTCACACGTACAACGAAGACTAAGATGATGGCTAGTACGCTTGCAAGTCTTCCAGTAAACAGGCATGCATATGGTAGTCCTTAGCCGATAGGTGGCCTTCCCGAGGTCGCTAATGGGTGAAACGTATGTAGTCGGCATGTAGACACAATATAAAGGGGCAAGACAACCAGTAAGCTTGACTACAACCAAAATGAAGAATTATAGGGAACATATAAAACTTGCTTTCAGCCTTAAAATATTGTTCACACTGATCCGGTTGCCGCTTATTGGCCGGGTAGATTGAAGAACTAGTTTCAACCAACTGAGGAGTTGAATAGCCTCGCTTTGAAACGTAAATAAAATCCTTGCCAAAGGTTGTACGCACGGACCTGTTCTATGACATTTCTTTATATAGGTATAAGTCAATTCGACAGACATACATTTGGGGAGGAGGTTAATTCGTCGAGGAATTTTCTGCACTCCGTAACGAGCTCTTCAAAACTGTCAGACATAAGAATATTTTCAGCAGTTTTTTCAAGCATGTGTAATGAGGATTCTAGAGCCGGGCATACTGTCGAAATAGTTCCAAAACGCTCCAGAGCGACATTCTCGACCTCCCCCATTTGGTTTCCTGAAAATCCGCCGATGCCCGCAATTTCTAACTGTGATGTATTAAAAGCGAAAGGTTTTCAAGGTTTGATTATTTTTGATTGGATGGTAAAATCCGCAGAGTCTTTTAGAATACAGTTTAATCCAGCAAGGCCTTCTGCATGCACAGCGCATTTAATTTTTTCTGCACTCAACCGTTAGTTTTGTGATGCAAGCTCGTTGTCAAAGCACTCACCTCTACATTTTCCACAACAGCATGCGGTGAACTCAGCCTGTTGACTTTTTTCTTGTGTAGTTTCGCCCATTACTGTTCGTCTTTTTGTTTATTTTTTTCATCCCTTTCTATACTTGTTCCGCATGTTCCAGAGTTGCATTCGGTAGTCCTCCCTGTGCCGCTTACTGCTGAACGGTATTTCATCACTCAGTAACCTGCTGATTTTTGCCGGGAATTCTCAGACATAGGAATACCCGTCAAAAATATAAAAATGGAGGTTTATATCGAGGTCAACTAAGTGCGTGGCTTACGTCGTTAAATCGGCTTGTCCAACGAGGCTGAAACAAAATGTGATTCAAGCCGGGTAAGTATGCAAATAAGTATACAGCGTGTCAACAAAGGACTTAGAAACCGGCAAAATGTAGTCAAAGCAGCATGACAAACTGCAGATAATAGACAAGCTAGATTAACTCGCACGGTGAGTTAAGGCTAATAGATAGTAATCTACAAAGTAATATCACAAAATGCAAATGGTCTACGGTTAGAGCTGAGACTTTCTCTGGGTGCTCCTTTATCACCAACCACAAGACAAGACTTATGGCACCATAAGGTTTTCTAACCGAGGAAGTGGAACCGTCCTTGGATGATGAAAATTCCCTTTTGAGCCTCCGGAATCGCTTGGTAGCGTCGTTTTGCTGGTTCCAGGCTGATGGAAATAAAAATTTCCAGATCGTTACGTGAGATGTTTGTTCGTACCGCTTTGTCACCTGATGGTGTGCACCGGCAAATTTTCAAGTCTAACCGTGGATTTATTGCTGGAAACTGTGATTTCGTTGCAGTTGCCACGAGACTACATTGACTTGTCCGTTCGGGGTTCATGAATGTTGTCTTCCTGTGTAAGTGACTTTTGGTATGCCTGACAGCTAGTCGTTATGTCAGCATGCTACCACCACTCAGTTACTGGAACCCATCTTTTTCGGTCTTTGGCGCAGATACAAACGAGTAATAGTTTTATCATGGACCCTTTTGGAACGCTGTTGCACACAGATGTCTCAGTTGATAGTGTTTCTCAAACTGTAATGCGATATTCTGTGTCGAGGAAAGCACTTGATCCGGCTGATCGCACTTTGGACTAAACCATGTCGATGGAGTTTTCGAATGATCATCTGGTAGCTTGGCGGGTCGAAGACCTTACGAGGGTCTATAATTGCGGTCCCAGCATTTTCCTTACTGGTTGATTACTTGTCTATTATTTCCGTTTTGACGGGGAGGTTTCTAGGATATGATCGTCCGTTCAGGCGACTGAATTATCTGTAGTCCACAATTTTATGTCCTTAGCGCAAAGTCTGGGAGATTATTTTCTCTATGCTTTTGCACACTACCTTATTTCGATTGATTGGATGGCATCGTTAGTCAGTCATTAATTCCGTTACTTAGTAAAATGCAATCTGGAAAGGGTTCCGATTTTTGCGTTCCAAATAGCCCTAAGACAGATGTTGAAAGAAATGCATGAGCGTATGGCCAAAGTTCGGACCAGAACTCCCAGGAGGTGGGCTGCATGTGAGAATCTCGTTCCCACATTCGATTTGGGGACATTTCTTCCACACATATCAGTGTATTTGTGGATAACGCACGAAACCATTGTGGTCTGGTTGAGAACAGGACGGGTTTGTTGACGGACAAAATTACAGCAATATTCCAGGAGGTATGGCGTCAGGAGCAACTTCCCCAGAATTTCTGGGACGCGACCATCATCCGTCTCCACAGACGGAAAAGACATCGGCAGATCTGTGATAACCATAACAGCAACTCGCTGCTCAACTTAGCCAGGAAGATCTTCGTTCACATCCTCCTCAACCGTCTCAACGGATTTCTCGAACAGGAACATGTCCCGTAAAGCCAGAGTGGGTTCCCACGACACCGCGGGACCATCGACATTATATTTGCCGCCCGCCAGTTGCAAGATAAATGCCGGAAAATTCGAACCCATCTCTGCATTACGTTCGCGGACCTGACGAAGACCCTCGACAGAATGAATCGAGATAGGATCAGGAACCTTACTCACTACTTCGGCTGCTTGAGGCGACCTGCGCACATGGTACGTCAACTGCACGACGATATTATTGCACGCGTCGCGGACAATAGGACAGTTTCCGAAGCATTCCCTACGACCAACATAATGAAGCCGTGCAATGTACTTGTTCCCACCCTCTTTAGTTTGGTGTTCTCTGTTATGATACTGGATGTCTACTGTGATGACTGCCCCGGATCCCTATTTCCTAGAGGACCGACTGCCATCATCTCAGCAGTCGGCGCATGCAGGCCTCAACTGGTCTCTTCACGACTGCTGCCCATGATCTGTTCTGCGCAAGCGATTAGACACTCATCATTGCGACAGCAACAGACATGCGAAGGAACATGAGACTCTTAGCCTCCGGCTGTGCCAAATTGGAGCTTACCATCACCAGAGACAAAACTGTGGTTATGCAGTAAATTCTGCAGACCCCCTCCTATCTATGTCAACGCCACATGCATCAAAACCGTTGACTATTTCGCTTATTTGGACGACACACGCTCATGCTCCAGCAAAACCGACAACTGAGTGGCCTACCGGATCTCCAAAGCCAACCAAGTCGTCGGTCGACTGCAGATCTCCATATGGAATCGTCATAGTCTCCACCTCAATACCAAACTTACGACGTACAAAGTGGTCGGCTTAACGACTCTGCTGAATGGTGGGGAGACCTGGGCTGTCTACAAGAGCCAAGCCACTAAACTCGATCACCTCATCTTCAGCCGTCCTCAGATGATCCTTAAGCTTTGGCGGCCGAACATGATCCCGGACGTGAGGTTGTTGGAACGGACTGGAACCCTCAACATCCATGCCGTGCAAAAGAACTGCAACTACGATGTATCGGCCGTCTCGTGAGGATGGGCGGTGAACGGCTACCCAAACGCGCCTCTACAAGAACCTCCTGAAGATTTTTGAAGCGCTTACAAATTGTCCTGAAGACCTGGGAAGTCCTCGTATGAGACCGACCGGCCTGGGGAACAACGGTAAAGACTGGAGCAGCCATTGGTAAAGTCGACCGGATAGTTGCTGCTAAGGCCAAAAAGCGGCCGGCAAGTCTCAAACACCCCTGACTGGCAATGCTTGTGCCCTTCCTCTTTGGCGTGTCCATACTGTCAGCACACATTCCACGCGAGGATTACTCTCGTAGAACATCTCAAGACCCAGTGTAACAACAACCCAAAAATCTCAACTGGTGTCCTCATTACCGCAATCATTGTCCTCCTTCACTAAACCTCACAGCGTCCACGATGACCTACCTCATCACCGGTGGTCACAGTCCGACCGCCGTCACCTCGGTCCTCGCTGCCGCAACACTCGCAAAGTCGACAACGACTACCAGCTTTCCCTCTCCCGCCACCAGTGAGAACGTGCCCGACGCATCGTCAGCCACTACCCCTACCTTCAACCCTCCCACCAAGCCCGCTCTGCCAACGAACATTCCGCGTGAGGATCGACCTTGTCGGACATCTGCGGACTCAGTGCACCAGCGGCCGACAGTCCCCACTGCTGCCTCTCCGACCGCCCTGCGCTGACCCCCACGGCGTCAACTACGACGATCGACCTCATCGCCGATGCTCAGTGTCCCCTAGTCCCGCCGCCGCTAATTCCCGCCATCTCCAGCATCCGTGACACAATATCTATGACAACGACGACAACGATCACTACATCTTTCATTCCCACTACCGATCTAAGCGTTTCCGATGACCCTCCAACCACCACCCTTACCAATATCACCCCCACCTTAGGCGACGTGGACTCGGTCTCAACCTGTCCGACGGGTCGTTAATAAAAATTATTCATTTATTTATAATCGCACATCTTTCTTACATATAGGCCCGGTCGGTCACTCGCGAATTCATCGCACTGGGACTGGCACACCAGTGCCAAAAACCCCAACATACCGCATCCGCTTTCACTGTTCGTACTTGCCACGCACATTCATTCCTTGCATAGGCCTTCTCGGACATATGCGTACATACGACAGCGGAGCTCACAGTCATAGCGATACACAAAGCATATCTTGCATACCCAACAGTTCTCCCAGCCCTTTCAAACCGACCTACCCGACTACCATTAGCAGCATAGCAATATCATACGATTCGGCATCGCCCATGTATTCTGTCCGCACTTCTCTCGTACATAAACGTCACGCATCAGCCAAGCGGATCATCTGTAAATTTGGCTCACATAGATTGGTGAAATAGTGTCGCGAGTACCAGCATACACCGGCCGTCATCACATCAAGCGCTTGCATTGTCCTCGAGCATTCATCCATTGCATGAGCTTACTCGGCCGTATGCGCATTCATGAAAACCCGCGGTAAATCGCGGCAGACGCGACCACATCACCAGATATCCCCCATAAACAAATACAGCACATATACACACCTCCAGCGTACCACATCACCGGCACCTCTCGCGTAGGTTGGACGTGCGTTTTTTAGCTCCTTTTTCCATGTGGGTCTTCTGTTGTATGTGAGATCAGAGGACGATTAGGAGGAGAATGATGATGATGATGATGATGATGATGATGATGATGATGATGATGATGAGGAGGAGGAGGAGGAGGAGGAGGAGGAGGAGGAGGAGGAGGGGAGTGATAGCGTGCGGTATATGCCGCACTGACCCACTAATGCCATTACCCAGTTCACGCGCAAGTCACCGTCTTCGATTTCTATCTCTCCGATGTAGAGCACACGAAGAGCATCGTCGGATACCACGGTCGAACTGTCATTATGTAGGAATCTAAAGACTCCAGTTAATTATGTATAATAAGTGCTGTCCTCACCGCCTTCTCCAAAGAATTGATATTTACTGTTAATGTACCGGCCACGTCGTGAGGATGAAAGACAAACGCCTGCCAAAGTAACTATTAAAGAGTGATGTCACCATAAGTTCTCGTCGAAAAGGAGGACAGAAACGACGCCGAAAGAAATTTCGAAATTCCCCTCTAGAATCTGAAAATCAACCCCGAGACCTTGGAGGAACTCGCGCTGAATTGACTGACCCGGAGAATTACAGCGAGGAATGGGGCAACCATCTATAAAGCCCACTAGATCGCCGCTACCCAACTCAGAAGAGCGGCTAGAAAGTATCGAATTTCACAAGCCAGCAGTTCTAACACCCAACCCTTTTCCATTATTTTCACCGTGCAATGGGACATTTCGCGCACAGACAGACCTCGTCGGAATTCCCGGAGCCAAATTCCCTACCAACGCGGCACCCCTACCGCCTACACATTCACCACGATTATCGCAATGCCCACGGCGTCGACGACGATTACCGCCATCACTGGCGAGGAAACTCCCGGTTCTCCACCGCTTACCACCTACCACATGCGATAATACCAACCACGGCCATCACCCCCACGAACGGTCAGAACAATTTCCATGCCCCGAAGTTTACTCTGACCCCCACCATCGCTGCCACAACCGCCCGCTGCATCAGCAATACCGACTCGGCCTCAACCTGTCCCCATTTCGACTGCGCCTTCACATCACACATTGGCCTGATCGGTCACTTGAGAATCCATTGAACTAAGGCTGGTGAAACAGTTCCAAGAACATCAACATATATCCGTCGCACCCGCCATAACTACACGGACGGCCCATGGGCATTTATTCGCCGCATGACCCTAGTCTGCCACCTGCACTTTCATGAGAATCTGCGGTAAAACACCGCAGCCCAGACCTCCCCCTTGACGCACACATCCTAGAACACAAATAAACGCACCTCACTTCACACATCAGCTGCACAGAACATCTACCCCTCATGCAAGGGAAAAGCATGTTTGCACCATGGCGTATGGCGTGGTCACCGGGTCGTGTATGGCACATAGATTGGTGAAATAGTGTCGCGAGTACCAGCATACACCGGCCGTCATCACATCAAGCGCTTGCATTGTCCTCGAGCATCCATCCATTGCATGAGCTTACTCGGCCGTATGCAGTACTCCTGAGTACTGCAGGATTTTTTCAAGCGAAATCACCTCAGAGAGAGAAACAATTTTGAGAAGATATAAACAGTCACGTTGTCGGACAATATACGCGAACGGTGATCTTACATCCATGTGGTCAGTCATCGCACTACGATCCGGAGTACCGTACACAGCAAGCTGATCTCGGTGAAGCCATCAGTACTGACCCGGGTAGAGTGAGCACACCAAAACTATTTGTACACCCTGCCTCTGTCCAATTCCATGTTGATGTTCTTAACCTTCTCCGCGAACTTAGTTTCTTTATCTCAGTAAATGTTTCTGTTTTGAGCATACTGATTCAGGTCTGATTACACCATAACACGCGTACTTTTTGCTTTACTTTGAACCTGTACATATACAGGACTACCAAAAATCTACTCGTAACTAGGGAAATGAGAAACCCTACCTGAAAAAGATATTAAAACTACTTCCAAAGCTCTTTTACTGCAATGTACTAACAGTGTCTTCAGTACAAAAAACAATCTAAAGCAATGAGTGTCTGGTGTAACAGTGGTGGCGCAGCAGCTGAAGAACAGAAAGCAAATTATCCAGACAGAACAACTACCTAGTGGCGTCTGACGTTTTAGTGGTCAGTCAGGTACTGGGGTGGCTCATTGCTGGCAAACTACTTTCATTATCGTATCTACTTTAGTATATTCAGTAGGCATTTATGTGTAATTGGGGCTGTAACTGGGCCCTCGCACTAGAGCGAACAAAACTAAGGAATGATCCTCATGCGCACACGAAGAGTGCAGGTGGTATTTACTTATTTAGGGCCTATTTCCAAACGTTCATGGCTGAAAAAAACTAGCAAAGTTATCGGCAAAGTAGCCAGTCTTCTTTTGAACCAACTTTGGAAAACTCGGCGACCTCGGGGGATTCAAACTCACGACAGTAAGGAGAGGGCTTGAGTACTAGCAACGTTCTAGCCACCTGAGCTACGAAGCCCCCCCCCCCCTCCAGGAGCCGTGTGTTTAATCACACCAGCATAATGCAACATACGGAATCCACCAATTCTGGCACAGTAAGCTGACGGCCCAGGCAGGATTTCCCAAGTAATCAATGTAGAATCCACCAAATGACGGCCAGGCTCACGGCTGCCGGTTGGGCCTCGTAGCTCGGGTGGCTGGAGCGTTCGCTGTATTCGAGCCTTCCGCCATGTTAACGGGGATTCGAGTACCATGGAGCTCGTCGGATTTTTCACAGGTGGGTAAAAATAAATTCTTCAAAATCCACCAACACACCTAGTAGTCAGTTTTTGCCAGGAAAAAGGCCGTGTTCAACATAAGCACGTAGAATTATTAGAAACGGTCACGATTGCCAACATAGATGATTTATTCACAGGAAGATTATTTTTCAAATAGTCCGGTATCTACAGTTATTATATCAACAACCCTTCCATCATATTTTAAATACACTTACTGATCATTACGTACGGTGGCTGCTCTGATAGCCCTGAAATGTCTGACGAAACATAAGAGGATAGAGCTGTCGAGCTCCGTCCCCCATTACAATCACTCACCTGTTCCAGATAACTGATACCCGACTTAGTATACGAAGCGATTGGATCTATTTATGTTCGGACAGGGTATGTTTAATGATACGCACCGCTGAAAGCAAAGTCCCGAAGACATTTTTCTGGGAAGAATGAACGGATTACTTATA